CTTGATCTATTAAAGAATCAGGTTGACCAGAATTGAGTGTAAAGTAAAACCAGATCATGTGCTTTCTCTTAACATCAGATTGGACATTTTACATTTTTATGCTGCTCATCACCATCATATATAGTTGGCTACTTTCCATTGATGCATCACCAAAACCTAAACATGAGCATTGAAAAGTTGCAAGCACTACTTGAAAATCAATTTACATGTGACCCTAACCTATAAACAAGTTTAGTATAGATCATGATGGAATTTATCATTATCCACGTCCATGTGGCATGTGTGCATCTTAGTGCTAAACTTCAACCTGGATTTCAACCTAAATAAAAAACTGTATCAGAGAAAGAACTAAAAATACAAAATATAATCCATTGAGGACCCCCACCCCCAGATCAAAGGACCCATCCCATGCGTTTACAATATTTAACTAGATTTTTATAAACTGGTCTTCTACTCATAGTAGTTCTTCATGACAGACAAACCTGTTTCTTGCTAATCTGCTGGACCTTCACCTCTAGCCAATCACGATATATCGAGAAGAGCTCCAACAACACATTTGGATTTACAGCTGCTGCATTTAACATTAAAAACAACACACATGCAAATACCAAGTCAAAATATTAGCCTTTCTCAAACAAGTATTCCCTAATTTAAATGGGATGAGCAAGATAAAGAAATAAGGGTACAAAATTACATCTATGACCAATATACACTAGATGAAAAACCACGTCGAACAGCTACTATTCAACTTGACATAACATTAATTTCTTGCTATGTAAAACATTCACGAGAAAATGTATAGAACTAGTGATTGCTTTCGTTTCTCTTTCTATACCCAAGGATACTGAAGCGAACCTTCAAATGTTTTAAGTTGACAACATTCACACACGTTAGAAAGTAAGTTGCTTTTCTATTCATCGGTAGATATCTTTGTTCGAATCATTTTCACCTCCAGAGAGCGAATTAATTTTTACTTATCTAACATTCTAATTTATTTATAATGCTTCAATGGAGAGAGTCTATGGCAGGAAGGAAAACAAGAAAGAAAGCAATTCCAAGACCCACCAGGAGCTGAAGAAGCCGATGCCTTCCTCACCAAAATGTCAGTCAAACTACCTTCTTCCTTTAGAGGTGAAGTTAATATTGGTCTTGTCTACAGTACAAAAAAATTGAATAATAAGATAGCGCATTAATCTCCAAATTGGGATTGTGTAAAGGATAATAAAAAGCTTACAATTTTGAGGGATTCGAGCCTCTCCAAAATGGGATCCACAGCTTCTGATCTCTCAGTGACGGTAGTGATCTCATCTGTCAGTTTCTTTACACCAAAAACAAGCAAGTTACTCAACAGTGACAAATTTATTGTAAATGATTGGAGAATTTTAAAAGAACTAACTACCTGGGAACTTGAAAGACTAGACTCGGAGGCACCCATGGTGGTTTACAGTTTACTTCTAAACTCTTGTCTTCAACGGAAAGTTCGATAGCGTGTTGTAATCGCCACCGAGTACTGATCGGAACCCGTTTGGACTCCGCCAAGGAATCGTAGAAGGGGTAGCAGCTTGCAGTCGAATTTATTGAGGCTAGCAGCTGAAGTGCTTTAAAACAAAATGATGCCGTTTCGGTCCCCGTAAGTCTGGGACGACTACTAGTTTTGTGGTTGTGGAGCGAAAGGATGGCTTTTGGTTTAGTAGCAGTTTGGTCCCTAAGGTCCTACACGTGTTGCATATTACTACCTGTACTTTCAAAAATGAATAATCTAGAGCTTGTAGTTTAGGACAACCTGTACTGCTAGATGCATTACAACCGAATTCCTTGTGTGTGGGGCAATTTTCTAGAATTCCACTCCGGATAAAAAAATTAAATAAAAACCACAACAATTAAGTAGATGACAATAAGAGCTAAGCCCTATTAATTTATATTATTTTTAAAACAAATATTTGAATTTTTTATTCAAAGAAATTAAAACAATTTTCTTTAAACATAAAATAAAATAAAATAAAACATTATTTGGATTTGACTAAGTTCATCATATTTGATATAACTAATACAAGATTGATAAGATTAACACCTGAATCAGTTTGAAATAAAACTTAAATCGAGCTGATACTAAATTAATAAATTAATATGTTAATTTGTCCGGTTAGACAGGTTTTAATAAGATTTAAACCATAATGTTTAATGTATAAATATTAGCACATTGCAAGGACTGAAAAAGCAACCAGAATCACTTCGGTCTTCCCCTTCCCCTATCTTCATCTCGTTTATATATAAAGCCCTCATTTTTTTCAATTCTGAAGAAAGTTGCAAAATCAATCAAATAAAGTAATTAAACTTTCTTCCCCTATCCACTGATATATTCTGCTCCAGTCAATCTCAAGATTTATAAATTCAAGCCAGTAATCAATCTCACTCTCTTTGTGTATGCCAACATGAAAGCTACAAAAGCAGCCGCAACTAAAAAAACACCGGCGGGAAGGAAACCTGCCGCTGCCAAAGCCGCTCCTGATTCTGCCACCGAGGAGACACCGGTTCCAAAAACCCTAGGCTACGCCAAGCAGACACAAAATAACGACATGACACCGTTGCCAACTACCGGTTCTGATTCAAAACTTGAACAATCACCAGGTGATAATGACTATTCCATCTTTCTGTGAAAAAGTTTTTATTTATTTATTTAGTAGCTTGATATTATTCTTAATTAGGGTTTCTTTTTTTTGAAGTGTAGCAATTAATGTGATTTTTAAGGTTTTTTTTTTTTTTGAGGTTGCTAGGCTAGGTCTGCTAATTGATAATTTTTAATATTAGTTGAAGGAAACAATATACATATGGACGTGAGCATGGCGACGCTGGATACTACGAAGCCACTTCCGATTAAGAAGAAGGTTGTGAGGAGAGTGATCAAGGTAGTGAAGAAAACCCCTGCTAATGCAAAAGCTCTTTTGGAGCAAACCTCGACAACTGTGGTTGCTGCGAAGTCTAATGTTGAAGAAAGGGAAAAGGAGGAGGAACTTGCTGTTGATAATGTTGGAGAATCTATAAAGAAGGAAGGACTTGCAATGGGAGTGGAAGAATCTAAGGAGGAAAGTGTGGAAGAACCTGTAGTCGATTCTAGGAAGGAGGTTGAAGCGGTTAATGTTAGGGTTGGGGGGTCTGTTAAAAGGGAACGAACTGTGGTGGATATACCTGCTGATGAGGTTGCGGAGGTATCTAAGAATGAAGAACCTAACAGAGTGGGAAAGGGGGTTAACGAGGGTGAGAAGAAAGACGTGGGCGATGAAGTGGAGGCCAGAAATGAGGCTGTTAAGATGGAAGGAAGTATGGAGGAACAGGTTCGAAGAGAAGAGACTCAACACGAGCAAGATGAGTATGGTGGTGATGACGGTTATGAGGAGTATGGAGATAGAGTGGACTTTGAAGATCCTGTTGAGGATGACTTTGAAGATCCAGATGAGCCTGTTGAAGAAGCTGATGCAATGGAAGAGGAACACAGAGAACTAACAGCTGTTGCAAAGGAGCGTAAGATTAAGAAAGAATATGAGATATTTGTTGGTGGATTGGATAGGGATGCTACAGAGGAGGATTTGAGAAAGGTTTTTGAGAAGATTGGTGAAGTAGTTGAAGTTCGATTACACAAAAATCTTTCAACAAATAGGAATAAGGGATATGCATTTGTGAAATATGCAAACAAGGGGCATGTGAAACGCGCTTTGTCTGAAATGAAAAACCCTGTGGTATGTATCACTCCATAGTTTTGGCTTACGTTTTATTAGTATCATATTAACTCCTCAACTGTTCACAGATTCGTGGAAAGCGATGTGGGACAGCACCAAGTGAGGACAATGATACATTGTTCTTGGGGAATATATGCAACACATGGACAAAGGAAGCTGTGAGCATCTAATAATTGTATTTCCTGATTGTTTTTAGATTTTTTCAATGATTTATAATATAATGTGGGTTGGCAGATAAGACAAAAGTTGAAGGATTATGGCGTTGAAGGTGTTGAGAACATCACTGTTGTACCAGATGCTCAACATGAAGGGAGAAGTCGTGGTTTTGCATTTCTTGAGTTTGCTTGTCATACTGATGCAATGCTTGCTTACAAGCGGCTTCAGAAGCCTGATGTTGTATTTGGTCATCCAGAGAGAACTGCCAAAGTGGCATTTTCTGAACCTATACGTGAGCCTGACCCTGAAATTATGGCTCAGGTGAAGACTATATTTCTTGATGGCCTTCCTCCTCACTGGGATGAAGACCATGTTAGGGATTGTGTGAAAGGTTATGGGGAGATTGTACGAATTGTCCTGGCACGGAATATGTCAACCGCCAAGAGAAAGGATTTTGGATTCGTCGACTTCTCTACGCATGAAGCTGCAGTCGCTTGTATTGAAGGAATAAATAATAGAGAATTTGGAAATGGTAACACAAAGGTAATATATGTTACTTTGTAGTTGTTTCTTTTCCCATTCCTTTTCCTTATTTTTTTGTGTTTGTAACAAAATTACTTTATCTAGAAAGCTATTTCTAGGTTTCATTAAATTATTTTGGCATTTTCCTACTTGAAACAAAAATAAGGATTGAGTTGTGGAGGAAATGTGTTTAGAGTAACCTAGATCTTCTTCTTTTCAATTTGCTACTTTCATCAGTTTTAGTTTTATTTTCATATCCTTTCCTGGTAGACTTTGATCATTCCAGATTGATGCCTGTGAAATGCATGCATTTAGTTGCGTGGTGTACAATAAAGTTTTACCGTTTTTATATCTAATTTGGTAAGAGATGATGTATGAACTGAGATCATGATATTGTCATGTGCTGGCAGATGAGAGTTAAAGCGAGGCTGTCAAATCCATTGCCAAAAACTCAGGCTGTGAAAGGTGGAATGTGTGGTGGCTTTCGAATTGGTCATTCTGGAAGTGGAAATTATTTAAGATCTGGTAACCTTTGATCCTGAGGATTTGAATATTTCTTAGCATGCATTTGTCTCCATTTGATTTAGGCAATTGTGTTACAGGAAAGGGTTTTGGGCGGGGCGGGCATCATTCAAACTGGGTGAATTTTCAACGTGGTAGGGGTTTCTATCAACGAGAACTTGGTCAAACTAGTAGAATGGGTCCCCGTGAGTATGACTATAATGATCGATATGACATGCTTCCTGGGAGGCAAGGTATTCAGTGGCCTCTTTCTTTTTGAGTGAGCTCACATACACACAAGCACACCCTTCCTTACCAATAGATGCAGATCTTTCACGCAGCCACAATTAAAAATCTAACTCACATTAATGTATTGAGTAGGAGGAAGAAGGGGTTCTTTCAGAGGAGGTTATCAAACAGCTACTAGAGGTATGGCTGCTGGGCCATCAAGATCTAATATCAATCGAGCTTGGCACGAGATCCCTGAGCGAGGACATAGGGGCTATGTTTCTTCAAGGGGGCAACCATTTTCTCCTGAAGAATCCTTTGACAGACGTTTCAATGGAAGGCACTTTGATGACCCCTATTTTTATGATGATGGACCACATGGGATGAAGCGGCCATTTTACATGACTGTGAGAATTTCGTTTTATGGCCAAACTCTGCCATTTGGTCAATATTGTTCTTTTAAAATTTAAGCTTCTGTCGTTGCTTGTGCGTCCTTTATATTCTTTAGATTTTGATAGTATTCTCTTGCTTTTAGGACCAAGATCCTGACTACATGGAACCTAGTAGGCTTCGACCCCGGTTAGATTACTCTGATCCTCGATTAGATTATGTTGACCCAGCAGCTTCATTTCGTGGGACACATTATCGCGGTATGGATTATGATGTCCCCAGATATTTTCATTTTGTGACATGTTTATTTTATTTGTTTTATTGTTTTTGATATTATCATCCTCATGGCTTATGTTTCAGATACCTATGGAGCAGCCAGTGATCCCTACTTTCATGAATATCGTGGTTCTGATGTGAGCAATTAACCTCTAGCTTATTCCAGTTCTTTTTTTTACTATTAATAGCTTCATCCTATTTTGTTTTCTGTTTGTGTTGCAGTATGCTTCATATCCACCTTATTATGGGAGCGACCATTCATATGGTGGTGGTTACCGCTATTAGGCACAGTCAAATCTGGTAATTCCAATTGCCTTTCAATCTTAAATAGTCTATATTGGATGTGATTCTTGAAGTTAAAGGTTTTGACTTTAATTGTGTCCAGGTGGGCTTGGAAAACCAGGACGCTAAAAATTGATGATAGGCAAATGGCTTGGTGTTCAGAAACTAGTTGAAGTTGCCTTTACTCTATCTTTTCCTTATCTTGTATTGTTCTTTGTGATTCCCTTCAAATTCTCTCCCTGTGAAAATTTTCGTTGCAGTATCCGGAGACTTTTTGTCTAGTTTAGGGTATATCTTCAAAGGGCATAGATTAAGCAAGTAAAATTCTCTCTATATTTTGGAGATTGGAATAGATATTTATCCCTTTGATCTAGGCATGAACTGCTTGAGGACTTACATTATGAGGTTGTTCTATAGTTTAGTTTTTGGTTCTGTTTATGTTCCTGAATTTTGGATGAAAAATTGATGCTGATGATGTTTAATTTTGAAGCCAAAACATAACAGATTGGTGACTATGGTTTATGGAAGTGCAAAGTTTCAAATCAAGGTTTTTCTTGTAGTGATGGAGGTGAAGCAGTTAATACTGAGCATGCTGGTTCTAGCTTTGTGGAGATTTCTTGAAATTTTTGAAAGAGAAATGGAAAGGTTTAGACCTTCTATGCCTAATTTATAGGAATTGTAAATCCAAATCGTAACATCTTGTGTGGCTTTATTTTGAAAATTGGAAGGGATTTGTGCCCCATAAAACTTAATGGTTATTTAGTATGCCAATGACTGGTTCCCTTGGATATGATCTGGCTGTTCATTCAACATATATGCACCTATTGCCAAAGCAAAACTGCTGGGAATTGCATTTTATTTGAAGGTGCATTGCACCGAAGATGAAATTAAGATTTTGAACACATTTCATTTAATTATTATTTTACTAGGAGAACTAGCAATTGGCTTGGTCCATAATATATTTTGATTCGTCAGTAGCATAAGATTTATGTATTTTGAGAGTGATCCTTTATGGTATCTTTACATAACAGAATCATTTGTTGGGTTGAGATTGAAACTGACAGTTTGTGTGGTGATAAGATCTGTCTTTCAAGGTGAATTGATTCGTAAGCTTAAACTGTCACTTATTGTGATAGTTACTGTTTACAAGCTTTGGATTGATGGAGAAATGGCATTGGTGTGCCTACAAGAAAATATATGATGGTGTTTCATATGTGCCTCTTAAACTTCACTGGTTGAGTTGTGTTTCAAAGCTTACAAGCATTTTTCAATGGTGGTAATGGCCTACAGTTCTCTGTATCACAATGATACGTGGCATAGAATCCTAAATGTGGAAATTGTGGTTATAAAGATGAAGGTTCTTATATTATGCTCAATCATGTTGTAGCCCATGCTAAAGTTGTTTTAGATCCTTGATAATCCAAATATTTGTTGAATGTTTATGCTCTGCCATGTACTTAGAAAGTGGTAGCTGCCAATTGCAATGAGGTGTCCCGACTTGAAACAATGATTAAGTCCTGTATTTCCTGTTAGGATATTGTTATAATGATGAAGTTGATTGTGCAAGTTGGGATTATACTACCATTCGGTTACTTTTTTTGTTTTGTCAGAAGTGCAGGAAATAATATTTTGAATCATAGAGATTGCATTGATTTTAGTGGGGCTGGGAGTTGATTTATGTTTGTTGTCAATTGGTTTCCTGTAGAAAACTGTGTTAGAATATGCATTGACCTTGGGATTTCCTTCAATCAAAACCAAAATATTAGGTATTTCCTTGTTGATAAATCTTTTATTTTTTTGCCTCAAATTTTTCTTGTCGGGCAGATATGTGGATCTGGTGCCATTTTGTGATAATACTTGGTTATCACTTGGTGGTTAGGATTTTGTATTTCTGTATTAGAAGATAAGATGCTCCATGCTATAAAATGATTCCATTTTTAGAAACTGTACTTGCAGCAGACACATGATAGTTCTACCAAAAAATGGGAGTAGCCTTTTCTTTTAATGTTGGAGGTATGTTGATGACTGGTTAATTTTTGCCTATTTAATTCTCTGTCTTGGTGTCATGGTGTGTTTGTGTTGGTCAACAATACTTCTAATTGATACATTGCTTACAAAACAAGTTTCAAAGAGTTATTAGGGGTTAAATGGCTTACTAAATGAGGTCCTCCCTTTTCTGTTTCATTTTCCATTTGCAAGCAATCGTGTTGCAGATTACTTATGGATTATAGTGATGAGTGCAGTTAGGTCCTAATTAATCTGTTGAAACGTGAAAGCGGAAATCAAGTTTCTATACATGAGATTTAAGGTGTTTGCCAAAACATAGAAACAAGCACCCACCATTTAGTGTTAGGAATTCTCTCATCTCGTGTGTGTGTATATTGGAATAATTCTTTAGATCTGCAGAGTACCTTGGATATTGTTTTGACCTCATGATACATCTTTAGATCTACAGTGCATCTTGGATCTTGTTTTGACCTCATGTCATAATCATAACCTTCCATTGATTCTGACATGCTGTTCTAGTAGCAGTAAGGTTTTCCATATAGTGTTAATAATAATATTTACTATGGAGCATCTTAGAATGTTGCTTAGGCGCTTGCCAAAGTGGTTTTTGGGTCCGTTAGGGTGTTCAAGTTTTGCTGCTGAAGTTTATATATCCATACAACAGTTGTGTGCCTTTTTGTTTGTCTCAGCTCGCCCGCCCCTTTTTTCTTCCCTGTATATTTCCCGAGTTCTCTCCTTCAATTTCAGGTTGATCAAATTTTCTCTCATTTGTGACATATTAGAGTTCGAGGATTGCGATTTTATCATTGTGATGAACTTCAATTTGTAATTTGAGCTAAACTACTACTGATACTTTTTTAATATGGGTTTCTGTTAGTTGATAGAATCTGTTCCTCATAATGGCTGTTTAATTTGTTCCTCATAATGGCTGTTTAATTTGGATGCCACTCGTGCATCATTGTGCTTCAAAAAGGTCAGAGGCTGGGTTTCCCCTACAGCTTCAAGAGTCAGCTATGTGCTCCAGGTAATTTTTGTTTCTGCACCATTTCAAGAGTTGGCTGTGCGCCCGAGGCCAGAGGTGGATTTCCCTCACCTTGGCCGGAAAATCTTGTGGGTTCTTTTTTGTTGCCTAGTGTATTGTGATTCAGAGGGTTTTGTCATATTGGTTACATGTGAACAAACCGAGCAAGACCCTTGACTTGTTTGAATCACTAGGGCTTGATACCCATGCAGATCAGCCATTAAAACTGCAACCATCCATAGGTTGGGAGATTGAATTTAGTGATTTGATGTGTGAACTGCAATTAATCGCTATGCTAACATGTCTCAACTTTCAATCATATGATGCAGAGTCAACGGTCTTTTGACCCACGGTAAAGGTGGTTTTTGGCATTGCCGGATTATTTTAGCTTTTAAATAATTTTTTTTAGTGTTAGGTATTTTAGGGGTGAGCAAAAAAATCGAAAAATTGATTAAACCAAGAAAACCGGAAAAAAATAACCGAGAAAACCGAATCGAAAAAAACTGATTAAACCGATTAAAATTTTAAAAAAACCGGCCTGTTTGGTTCGGTTTTGGTTTTATATCAAAAAATTGAAAAAATCGAACTGAACTGAAATCGAAAAAAACCAGAAAAAATCGAGCCAAATTAGAAAAATCAAGCCAAATCGGACAAAACCGAGAAAAACCGAGCCAAACTGGAAAAATCAAATTAAACTGGTTTGAACTGGTTTTTTTCCTAAAAAACTGAACCAAATCGAAACTGGTCAGTTTGACCTGGTTTTGGTTTTTTTTTAAAATTTTTTTTTTCTGTTTGATTATTTTTTTAATAAAAATTGAAGTGAACTGAAAATGATTTTGTTTATATTATTTTAATATATTTTTAAATAAAAAATATTTTTAAAAAATAATT